AATTCTTTCCACCCCATCCTCCCTCCCATTCGCACTCCCACCCTTCTTTCTTCCTCTTCTGTTCTCATTCTCATTTTATACAAAGATCTATTTTCAATTAATTTTATACTCATAGGATTAGCCCTACACTAGGTAAATAATTCATCAAATAGTATGGAAAAATAAAAAAAAATTTGTTCTTCAACAGTCCAGACAAGGGTTGCTCAAAATCATTGCATCTCAAAGTGTCAATATCACTTTTCTAGATTACCTTTTAGGTACTCTATTGGTTACCACAGATCAGGGAGAACATATGGTATTTGTCTTTTTGGGGCTAGCTTATTTCACTAAGTATAATGGTATCCAGTTGCACCCATTTTGTTGCAAACAACAGGATTTCATTTTTTTTTACCACTATGTAGTATTCTATGGTGTACCTATGCCATAATTTCTTTTTCCAATCTTCAGTTAATGGACATCTGCATTGATTCCATATTTAGCTATTGTGAATTGAGCTGCAATAAACATGGGGGTACATACAACTCTTTAATATGCTGATTTCATTTCCTTTGGGTAAATTCCCTGGAGTGGGATGACTGGGTTGTATGGCAGGTCTATATTCAGATTAACATCCCAAGGGAAAACCAAGTGGTGTAAGTTATGAGAGTTGATGGCAGAAAATTCAAGTAAGTATTCTAAATTCCCCTTAGAAAGTCCCCAGAAAGCTTGAACACAGTTGTCCATGGAGGGAACGGTAACAGCCTTGGTTTTACTTCTTCCTCATTTCTCTTTCCCCTGTTCCTTGCTGCTGATCCAAATGAACATCTCCCCACTAAACACCCTGCTCTGCTTTTGGGGACAGCCTAAGCTAAGACACAGGAGCTCAGCTTCTTTCCTAGAACCACAGCTGTACCCTGGAAACTCTGTTTTTTCAGATCTTCATATTAAGTTGCCCAGAGATCAAAGAGACTATGGAGAACTGTAACGAGATTTTATAGGATAGGTGTAAAAATGAAATATGTCATTGGTCATTGTATGTGGTGGAATGAGAAGGCCATGTCAAGGTGGCTGCTGGCAAGCGAGCGTCAGTTATTCAGGAATGGCTTTGAAACCCACCTGGCAATGGAGCCTGCCTGGCAACAGGCTGTGATTGGTTGGGGCATAGACTGCCCCTTGACCGGATTGGCTGGTCTTGGCTATATAAGATGTTGTACCAACTGAAATAAACCAGTCTGCGGGCTGCTTGCCTTGCCTCAAGCCGGCTTTGATCCGACTCCGGGGGTCTGTGTGGTGACTCTGTGCCTCCTGCCCCCGCCACACTGCTCCTCTCAGAGAGGAATCCACTGCAACATTGTTGAGAAATCAACTGCAACAATTGTAGTCTACATTCCATTATCCAGAACTTGGTTGCTTGATTTCATGATTCCAGAGGAATCCATGATTACATGTAATCCATGATTACAGAGGAAGTCTAGAAATGAATTCAGGTTCCCAGGAGGCACAGGAGAGATGTGAGAACAGAGTATTGCCTTGGACATGCAATAACTTGAATTTTACATTTCCTCTTTTTTTGGGGGGGGGGAGTTCTAAACTATGAGTACATGATATTTGTGCCAAGATCTATGCTCATTTACTTCAGAAAGCTAATTTTATACTATTGTCAAAAATTAAATGCAATGTTCTATAGAGTTCCAGTGAGAAACCTGTCCAAAAGTTCCTCCATCTTACTGGTTAACCATTTCTAAAGTACAGAGAGTGGTATCTGCTGGTTGGCCCCATCTTGCATGAGTGACTGAGATCATGATTGGACGCTGTCACTGCTATCAGAAAATGCGCTGTAAGAAAGAAAAAGCCAGACACCTTTGAAATAGAGATCATAAGCCAGCAAACTTTCTGAGTTACTTGGCAAGAAGGGAGCTCAAAATATGCTCAAACGTAGGAAAAAAGAAGAAAGTCAAAGCACGGGGGTGAAGCTGAAGCTAATTTTTTTTTTTAAGATTTATTATTTGAAAGAGAAAGTTGCAGAGCAAAGGAGAGGGAGGGAGGGATAGAGGGAATGGGGAGGAGAGAGAGAGGGAGAGAGAAGGAGAGAGGGATAATCTTCTGGCTGCTGGTTCACTCTCCAAATAGTTACAATGGGCAGGGCTGGGTCAGGCCAAAGCCAGGAGCTGGGGGACTCATTGAGTCTACTATGTGGTGACAGGGTCCAAGCACTTGGGTCATCTTCCACTGCTATCCCTGTCACATTAGCAATGAGATGGATAGGAAGTAGAGCAGTTGGTCTCCAGCTGGTGCCCATAAGGAATGTTGGTGCTTCAGCTCCTGGCTTAATGTACTGTGCCACAGCACTGGTTCTCAAAGTGGTGCTTTCTTTTTTGCCTTTTTAGTGGAGAATAAAGGAAAAATAATGTTCGTTCCTTCTCCATTAATTGGTCTCTGGCATCTTGAGATCCTAAAATTTCTGCTGTATCACTTCATTTAGAGAAATAAAGGCAAAATCGTGTCCTGCCTACAGAAAGGTCTTACTCCTTTTCTGGCAGAATCACACGCAGGTTTGCCCCAGAGAAATGCAATGGAATGGACAGTCAAACTTGGCAGCAGAAGAGCCCAAGCAAAGCTATTACGCATCTTTAGGACTTTTTCAAGGTTTGGCTGCAAATATAAGTTGTCAGTTTTCTTGCTTTTGTTCACATGATCTAAGTGGAGATTTAGCTTTGGTGTCCTCTTACCATCTTTGCTGTCATGCCCCTTGTCCCGTATATTTGTGGCTATTTCTGTGCTCAATAAAATGAAGGCATGAATTATTGAGTGCCTGCTATGTGTTAGGTCTTTTTGTTATCTTAATTCTCAATGATCCATGAAAACCAGGTTTCAGTAACCTCACTTTAAAGCTCAGGAACCCAGGGGTCCCAGTCATTAAGTGACTGGAGCTATAGTTGACTGAGCCCTGCTTGATATTTATACCTTCTCAGATCGCTTCTTTTACTTTCCCACTCTTCCTGAGGACTCTACTTCCACTGTAGCTATCTCTTACGTACCACATATCCAGAAGTGGATCTGCAGTAGGATTGCCAGAGAAAATACAGGGCACCTAGGCAAATATGAATTGCAGATAAATGATGAGTTTTTACTATAAGTATTGCTTGGGTTATACTTCTACTAAAATGTTAGTTGAAATGCAAGTTCAAGTGGGTGCTGTTTTCTTTTATTGTGTGTGCACAACCTGGCAATGGTCAGTGAGCTATCTTTCTTCCTTTTATTCCTTCTGTTGTATTTCTCCTTCCTTGGAATCTACAACTTGGATGCGTGCAGACTTCAGCATCAACTCCTCCTCCTTATTGAAGCTGTTTGCTGTGCTCATAGTCACTGCAGTCTGCCAAGCCATCGACCATTCTAGCGCCTGGCTCATTTTCTTCCTTGCAGTAATTATTTCCATTATTCCCTTTTACATTATTTATCAATTGACATAGATGACACCTCAGTTCCATTGCTTTTTAGTTCTCAGACTTCTCCCTTCAAACATTTTCCCTTTATTTGAATTCAATGGCGGGGGGCAAAGGGAATCTGAAGATTTCTTGCAGTATTATAGGGTGTCCAGGGAGGTGCTTCATGGAGTCAATGAAACTTGGACAGATACAAGTATTACAGCTGAAGGAAGTGAGGCTTCCAGCCCTATTAACAGTAGACAAAAGTGGTCCACGAGGAGGAAATAGTAAGTGCAAATGTCCAGAGGCAGAAAATTTTCCGGGCTGTTTCAGGAAGTTACTTGAGCAAAAGGACGACATCTTATATCAGTTCTTGGTGGTGTTATTGTTCATGTTCAATAACTTTTTGCTGATAAGAGTAACCCATTTTACATGATTAATACAAGAACACAGTGAGTTTTTATTTAATAGATGGATGAGCACTTCGATGGAAGGGTATTCAGCATGCTCAGAAATCAATTCTTGTCCTGCAAAACCTTGCAACCAATGAACAGGATTCAGGATTCTGAATAATATAGAAAATAAAAGCATAAATTAAATAAGGAATTAATATTACAGGCAACCAGAAAGCTGCATTGCGAGACGTGCAATTTGACTGGCACAATGAAAGCTTTAGAAGGGCTTCACAGGCAGAACATTTTCCTGAGGGCTTCACATTCTTCTCTTCATTTGAATTAACGGAAGTTTTTCAGTTTGCATTATAATAGTATGTCAGTCTCCTGTCTTCTTCCCCAGAGGCCATGTTTTTGTACATTTACTTTTTTTTTGATTGCTTTTCAATATATTAAGTATCTTGAGGAATGGGCATAATGGAAGACAGTGAAGATTAGATTCTATTTTTTATTAATTTATTCAATCAAGCTTTACTGGGTGTCTGCCAAGTGAGAGAAACCCTGAGCTTGATATATTCTAGTGCCCAGAGCAGAGCCCTAGGATAGACTTTCAATAAATTTCTGTGGTCCAAATCCAGGGAGTTAACAACGGATGAAGGAAGTGAATCCAGGGAGGAGTGTCTTCTGAGATTTCTGGATTTGTCGCTCGTCCTATCACAGTTATACCGTAAATTACTCTCCATAGTTTCTAGAATATTAGAGACGGGTAGAACAAAGAGAAAATAAACTATTAAACTAGGTGGCAACGACAGAGTGACTAATTCTGTCCTCAGTCGGCTTCCGTAGTGTTTCCGTCCTCAAGTCGTTTACGCAGACGTGGTCGGTGGTGACGTCACGCGACTCGGAATTCGCGGGAAAACTTGTCTCAGTCGCGGGGGTCGGGGCCCGCGCGCGGGGACTTTGGAACGTGTTCCCCGGGAAGTCCAGCTGCCATGAGTCTGTGGGTGGACAAGTACCGGCCCTGCTCCTTGGGACGGCTGGATTATCACAAGGAGCAGGCGGCCCAGCTGCGCAACTTGGTAAATCCGGGGCGGGGAGAGGGGAGACGCGAGGGGGCGGAGGGCCGGGGGCAGCTGCGGAAGGTTTTAGAAAACTGAGATAAAGGAAGCGCTGAGAAGTGTCTTCCGAGCTGGTAGTTGCAGGAAGGGACCGAGTCCTAAACACGGGAGTCCAAGCAGAGTGGGGCAGGCGGAGGGAGCGAGGAGGCAAAGACGACTGGGGCGGGAGCGGGCAGCGCCGCCCGGGAGCCCGCAGCAGGCCGGGGCGGCCGGGCGGTGGGGTCCTGAGAGTGCGGCCTGTGATCTGGGACCGGGCGTGGTGCGGCCCCGGTGCGTGGCCGGAGTGGAATGGGAGCCGCTGCAGGGCTTTGGGCGGAGAAGTGACGTCGTGGGACTTTTTAGCGGGCTTCTGACAAGTGCTTGGTGCCCGTGTCCTCGTGGATGAAGACCGTGTTGGAGTAGCTCAAAGGTCGTCTCTGATTCCCGGATCATCTGTGGTGTACGGGATGTGCTTGCGCTCACTTCCTTACGGGAGGTGTTTCCTCCTGCACCCCGTTACGTTGTAGCGGATGACAGGCCTCAAGGCACTTGTGGGAAGCACACCGACCCTTACTGGGAGGGAAGAGCAGAGCAGGGTGTTGAGGATAAGTTACTTGAAGTTCCTGTTACAAACCTAAATGTAACCGCCGGTGTGTTTGCGCTCTGCACTCTGGTCTTCCCACACCAACCTTTTCCAGGATACCGGTGCTGCTTAATTGTTCCGTGCTTTTTAAAAACAAGGAATGACTAAGGAATCTATCCGTGTGTGTGTGTACACACACATATATATAGAAAGCATTAAAGTTGATGTGAAATTGAAGGTTAATTCTCCTCAGTTAATGATGTTGACCCTGTAACTAATTCAAAAGGTAATATATGTATAATAATAGGCAAACTGATAGCAATAGCTTTAATTTTCTAAGCCATACAATACAATTTATTTTTTACAGCTACTTTTTGTTAGAGTTTTGATTATACATTTTGGACAACTTGATAACACTGGTCTTACATGTTAAGGAATATGCTTTTGAGATGTACACCGGTTTACTGTTGAATCTACAACTTAATAAAACTGAATAGACATAGTCTTTCTTTCTGGTTAGCTCAGAGTTTAAAAGACAAAAGCGACAGGTATTTGTGGAGCGACTGACTCCTATTTCCAGATCCCGTATTAGGTCAGTGGTTCCTTTCCTTGAGATTTCTTCTTCTGTGGCAGAGATATATGAGCTTACAAGGTATCAAAAGTCACTGTAGTAATCACCTCTGTTAAGATATTTATTTCATTTTGTCTGCAATGGTTATTTGCCGAATTGTCGACCCCTGCGATTTTGTGCAGCTCAGGCTAAGCTCTGTATCCTCATCCTGTTTATAGCCTTCCTAGCTCGGTTCCCAACCTGACTGATCATGAGAATCACCTGGGAAGCATTTTAAACCCTGTGGTCCCGTGTTGTGAAGTAGCAGACACTGTCAGGGCCCTGCTGTATCCCTTTAAGTACGCAGAGACTGACTTCCAGCTTCCTCCATCAGTGGGTCGTGGGATGGCTTTCCTCTTGAGAAGCAGTCCTTGCTTTCTCCCCACCCGGTTTCCTAAGAAGGCGTCAACAAGGGCTGATGGGAAAGTGTGTCCTGGTCTAGCTTTGCCTCCTGTGGGTGGCTAGCACTGTGGTGAGTCTCACACCGGCTTCCCAAGGTTCCCAAGCAGGATGACGCCAGGTGCCTAAAGTGGCATTTGACTTGATGACGTTCTTCCTGGCTGCCTGCCTGTCTTAGGAAGTCTTCTTTACCTCCCAGGTAACCTCTCAAGCAAATCAGAGGGACTCAGTTCTTACCAGACTTGTTCTAAGAGTCCAAACTAAGACAGACGTCAGTTGCAGAGTGACAGAATTTTAATCTCATGGCAGATGGGACTGTATAGTCAAACAGCCGTTGTTTTAGAAAGTTCTCTGGCCGATTCTGGTAACCACATTTGGGAGTTTCTGCTTTTCTAGCATCTAGTGTTATATTTTGTATGTGCTATGCTATGTGTATATAGGTTATGTAAAGTTAGTGCTAGAGGAATGAATAATCGACACTTTGCAGTTTATAAAAATATAAATATATATTTGAATCTAGAATTTCTTTTTTCTTTAAATATTTGTTTATTTGAGAATCAGAGTTACAGATAGAGGGAGAAACAGAGAGAGGTCTTCCATGTGCTGGTTCACTCCTGAGATGGCCACAATGGCTGGAGCTGTGCTGATCCAAAACCACAAACCAGGAGCCACAAGCCACATGGTGCAGGGTCCCAAGCACTTGGGCCATCTTCCACTGCTTTCTCAGGCCATAGCAGAGAGCTGGATCAGACATGGAGCAGCTGGGACCTGAACCGGTCCCCACACTGGAAGGCGGCACTGAAGGTGGAGGAATAACCCACCACACCAGAGCATTGGACCCTGAATCTAGAATTTAATAGTCAATACACAAAATGTTTTATACTTTTAAAAGTAATTTGAGGGGCCGGTGCTGTGGCATAGCTGGTAAAGCCGCCGCCTGCAGTGCTGGCATCCATGTGGGAGCTGGTTTGAGTCCTGGCTGCTCCGCTTCCAATCCAGCTCTTTGCTATGGCCTGGGAAAGCAGTAGAAGATGGCCCACGTCCTTGGGTCCTTGCACCCACGTGAGAGACCTGGAGGAGGCTCCTGGCTGGCTTCGGATCGGCGCAGCTGCGGCCCATGTGGCCAATTGGGGAGTGAACCAGCAGATGGAAGACCTTTCTCTCTGTTTCTCTCTGTCTGCCTTTCCTTCTTGCTGTGTAACTTTCAAATAAATAAATGTCTTTAAAAAAAAAAGTAATTTGATTCCACCTAGAGAATTTCAGTTTGATTAGTGAAAAATACCCTTTTTTGTTTCCAGGTTCAGTGTGGTGATTTTCCTCACCTGTTAGTATATGGACCATCAGGTGCTGGCAAAAAGACAAGAATCATGTGCATTCTACGTGAACTTTATGGTGCTGGAGTGGAGAAATTGAGAATCGAACATCAGACTATCACTGTAAGTGTTTCACTTTGAGACCCTCCAAATATTTATTGCAGAAGTTGTCAGTCCTTGTCCTGTATGCAGCTGGTCCCCACCTCCACACCCTGTTGCTGCCTAATTAAGTAGGAATTCCATAGGGGTTCCTGGTGCCCAGGATTGAGAGCTACTGATTTACTTACAGACCTAACTGTTACAAGGATACCAGTTGTTTAAGTAAGCGAGGAAGTACAAGTATGAGCAAGGGGAGCTTCTGGGTAAAACAAGATTTCAGATGGCCTCGTAAGTCAATGTGTCAGCCAGGGCTACAACTCAGATTTCTAGAGTTCTGTGTTCTGAGTAATAGTGGGGATACAAAGGAGTGATTTTGATATGAATTCTAAGTGTGGCATCAAGTGACTTAATATAGATGGGGCAGCTGATTGGCTGGGAGAGAGGGCTTGAGGGTGTGCGATGTTGAGATTTCCTATGATCTTGCCCTGGTCAAGCCTCTAGCCTTGCATGATCATCATGCCGTGCGTTTTCATGTTCTTCCCTTGTGGATGATGTCTAGTCCCTAAGTGAAATGGCTCCTTCTCTCCAAAGCGCCTCCACCTCTCTACCCTCCCCACTCCATTAAATTAGTTTTTCTTGTAGTACTTATTGTGTTTTGCCTTAATTATGGTTAATTAGACATTCTTTACTTTGACACACTTGTATTTGTTTTGAAGTTTTGTAGGGAACATGTCATTCATTTTAATATCCTTGATAGCCCCTGGTGGAATGTCTTACACGTGTTAGACATTGGAGAAACGTTACACACGTGTGAATGGTAGTGCTAGTCAGAGAATCCTCAGGAGAATAACTGGGTTTCTGGCTAATGTTGATTAGCTTATGTTTAGACACTGAGTTTGCGATGTCATTGGAACATTTTGTGGATATTCTTAAAAAACACGTATGATAAAATTAACAAGAAAAGTATGGGGTCTGTAGGAAGAAAACTAATGCAGGACAAAATATCAAAGCTGATGATGGTAAAATGTAGCATGTTCTTAAATGGAGTCATAATATTACAAAGTATCCTCCCTCAGTTACAGCATGAATTACACTTGAAATGTACTTTTGTTTTTATTATAGAAAATGATCTTAAGATCTCTATGGAAGAATACCTTTCTGAGACTAGCTAAAGTAATTATATATAAGAAAAAAAAGATTAGTTGAAGTGGGGCTTGTGTTACACCAGTTAGTAAATGATATTGTAAGGATAAAACTATATTAAATTAGGATAGAAATAGAGAATTAGACTAGCATAATTGAATAGAGAGCCCAGAAATATTTTGGAGAGTATATTTCAGATCAGTGGAAAAGAGTGAGGTGGCAAAATGAACCAGCATAACTTGTCACCTGTCTGGTAACAAAGTTGAATTCATGGAGTAAAATTTATAAAAGTGAATTCCAGATAGATTAAAGACTTCACTGTTAAAAGGAAACACTAAATATCTTAGACTATAGCTTATTAGAAAATATGAACTGCCCATGGGTCAAATATACCTTTTAATAGAAAACATGGAAACAGTAGAGGAAAAGAAATAGATGCTTGTATATATATGAATTTTAAAAGCTCATATGATGAGCTGTCACACATAACAGTCAATATAAAAATAACAGATTTTCACAAAATATTTGAAAGGAACATATTATTTAACAGACTTAACAAGTTGATGATAGAAAGTTGGATACTCTAGTAGTAAACTGATTCACAAGTAGTCACAGGAGAGAAATTTGAGTTTAAGTGGGCAAGGAACATTTGTAAAATGTTTGACCTTTGTGATAGTCAAGTAGTGTGAGTCTCTTCTGTACTCAGCCAAACTGCCCAAGATTAAGAGGCTTTTGATATAGGTGAGGTTATAGGTGAGAAATGTTGTGGAAAGGAATTTGCATGTAGAGAAGTGAATTGTTGGAATATTTTGGAAAGCAGACTGTCTATATATGTGCATATACATACGTGTTATATTGAAGTTCAGGATATATCCCCTCCAATCCAGCGGTCTTTTTTTTTCTTTTCTTTCTTTTTTTTTTTTTTTTTTAACAAAAATGACTTTCAGACGTGAGACAGAAAAGTAGTAAGATTATAAGATTTAATGGAGTAGAGCATCCATCATACCAAATGGCACCTCTCCAGACAGCATGTGAGAGAAAGTGCCCAGCCATTCAGACTGGGGAAAAAGAGGTTGCATAGTTAATGGAGGGAATATTACCAGACAGGCCAGGCAGGCATCTGAGGAAAGAGCTGAGAGCTGAAGGCTCAGCAGATCTTCTACTGGACATCCCTTACGTAGCAATGAAAGCAGGACATGAGACATGAGTGTGCACAAGAACTTTAATTGTCAAATTACTTGAATGACCCAAAGTAAGAACTAAAATGCCCGTGAGTGTAACTGGCTTTGGAACTTCCAAAGTGTAGATTGATACACAACTGTGACACTACGAGTTGTCTATGAGAGATTGTCAAGATGTGGTGTTAACCTGGAAAAGCAAAACACAGAAGTGTGTGTGATTGCCTTTGTGTTTTACTTCTTTACAAGAAACATTGACACTCTCTGTAAACGTACTTGTTTGTGTTTATTTTGGCTATGAAAGGAAATACACAGATTGTTTACAATAATGATGTGATAACTGGGGATGAAGAAAAAAGCAAAACATTTATCTGCAATTAAAAGAATGAGATTAATGAAATTAAAAACATTAATGGTTATCTCAAGGTTGTTTTTTTAAGCGAACATAAATTGTTTATATTACAAAAAATTAATGAAAATACAAGACAGAGGGGAGATAGCCTGGAAATAAAGGATTTACAGAGTTGGATTTTTTTGTTCATAGACTCCATCTAAAAAGAAAATTGAAATCAGCACCATTGCAAGTAATTACCATCTTGAAGTTAATCCCAGGTAAGTTGCTACTATATAGAAGTCAGTAGAAAGATTAGAAAGATGGTATTCTGACTTTTTTTTAAGGTGAAAGCTCATGAAGTAAAATCATTTGTATAAAAGCATAGTGTATAAACCAGACAGATTAACGTGAAGCTGCCCTACTTGAAATAGAGCCGCAAGCCTTTGCACCTTGCCTTGTCTCTCATAATTTCAGGATTTTATACACACACACACACACACACACACACACGTCTATAGAGCTGATTATTTTACATGAAGTATATTGTATTTTAAAGTTTTTGTGAAATTATATTGACTCATTTGACACTAATGAACAGAGTATATCTAAAAAGTTTGTAGTGTCTGGAATTAATATTTCAGAAACTGAATTTGGGTTGCCAGATCTTTTGTTGCAGCTGCCTTTACTTCAGCTTGTTGATCAGGATTTTATAATTGTCCCCCAACTGATGTGTTTGAATTAGCTATCATAAAATAAGATTAGGGTCTTGTGCTAGGGCAGGGGCATTGAACTCATGCAGCAGCAGTTAAGTGGTAAGTAGTTCAGGAATGATTTGGGGTGCTACACTGGGTTGGGCTGCAAGATCCTGTAGGGCCTGATGGATTCTGAAGAGCAGAGTAGAGGGCATTTTCAGACAAAGGCAACCCTGGATAATGGCTCAGAGGCAGGTGTGACCATCTGTTTCAAGGAGAGGGAGGGGGCTGGGTGCAGCAGTAGGAGTTGAGTTAGCTTATGTGCGTGAGCTATTGAGTAGCAGGCACTGTGTGAGAAACCTTACATGGATTCAAACAACCCTAGCAGATAAGTATTATTTTCTTTAGGTGTGTCAAAATTAAGATTGTAGAAATGGGTGTGAGCATAAATGTAGTAAGAGTATTAATTCATAGACAAATGGGACATATTTTGAATTCTTGACCAGAAAAGTGATGAAAGGCATTCTAAATATATTTAATAATAGTGACTTGGAGAAAACGTAGGGGTGATAGAGTTTGCAAAATTAATTATTAGTTATTTCTCTGTTTACTTAACACTGAACTTACTGTAAGAATGTAGTGTTTTCAGTGATGTATAAAATTGGAATATTATTTGTACTTTTAATTATTTTAAAATATTTCACTTTAAAGGTTTATGATCGTTGTTAGGTATAAGTAATTTTTATTAAAAGTTTGAATGCTAAATATATTTCTTCTAATAGATCTTCAACACTTTCAGGAGTAGTGGAGTATTTTCTAAATATTTACATATATATTATTCTTTCTGTTTTGTGCAGTGATGCTGGAAATAGTGACCGGGTAGTAATTCAAGAAATGCTGAAAACAGTGGCACAGTCACAGCAACTTGAAACAAGCTCCCAAAGAGATTTTAAAGGTATGCAGTAAAAATATTTTATAAACTTCAGGGCATTAGTGCTTTTTTTTTGGAGTTAGAAAAAGGAATAAGAGCAATGTAATTTCTGTGCTCATGGGAGTTTATAGTCTAATACAGTTGAGTTTTGTGAGAAACAACAATGCCACTTATTTGATATTTTACAAGATAAATAATGAAAAAAACATTTTATTTAAAATAAGAAACTATATGATTTAAAATTAGCTTCTTTTTTTTGATGTTTATTAATTTTCATCAATTCGAAAGGCAGAATGACAGAGAGAGAGAGAGAGAGAGATCGGAAAAAGGTCTTTTCATCTGTTGGTTCACTCACCAAATGACCACAACAGCTAGGGCTGGGCCAGGCTGAAACCAAGAGCCTAGAACTCTGTGTGTGTCTCCCATGTGGGAGGCAGGAGCTCAAGGACTTGACCCATCAGCTGCTGCTTTCCAGGATGCAGTAATACAAAGGTGAATTGGAATGAGAACTGGGACTATAACCAGGCACTCTGATATGGGATGCAGGTATTACAAGTGATGTCTTAACCCCTCAAGCCACAACGACTGTCCCAGATTCATTGTTTTTATAACCAAAATTAGATGTTCCTTATGAAATATTAGATAGAAATTAAAGTCAGCTATAATCCTATCATCTGAGACAGCAGTTAACAGTTTGGTCTTTACAGTGTTTTTTTTTAATGCATATATGTACATACATTCCTCCAAGTAATATTTTATAGTGATTAATATGCTAATATTTAATGCTTTTGATAGACTTTGCCAAATTCTTCATCTGGAACAAAATACAGATTGATACCACCAATGGCAATTTCTGGAATGTTCTTCTTTTCCCTGATGTTTATCAATTGCAGATAATTTTTTTAATCCTTGTCATTTTAAGCAGAGAAAATAGTGATTTTCTTGAATGAATGTGATCATTTTTCCTTTTGTTCAGTTCTTATTTTTATTGTTTTTGAATTGCTTGTATTTCTAACCAGTTTCTTATATTTCAGTCTGTATTTCAATATAATTTTGTCTAGGAATTAATTTTTCACTACCATGAATTTAGTCACATTTTAAAATGTTTTGTGTATATATGAGTTATTGTTCTTCATATTTTATTTCCTGTGTTGTTAAATTCTCTAATCGTTTATAGTAGTCTTTCCATAGTTGCTATTGGGTTTTTCAGGTATACATTCGTGCATCTGCAAATGGAGAGTTTTTTCTCTTTCTTTCAAATTTGTGTGGCTCTCAGTGCTTTCTCTTTTCTAGTTATGTTGGCCATTACCTCCATTACCATTCTTGGTCTCAGTAGTCTATATCACAATTCTAGAAGAAAAGATTTAGCTTCCATGTTGTTAGTTGCTGGACTTTGGCCTGGGGTTCATGTATCTGGTCATGGAAGGAAAGTATTCATCACCTGTATTTTATTGAATGTTATATCTGCTTCTTTTGCATCCATGAATGTGGTTTTATAAATTTTCTTCTGAGTTATATTGGTGTTATACATTACATTACTGGATTTTTTGATATTAAAATCATTTTGCTTTTCTGGATATATATCACCACTTGTCATATGTTAACTTTTTAAAAAATATGCTGCTGTTTTTTGCATATCTTATTACTCAGTCACTATTTCCAGCATCACTCATAAAAATAATTATATCTGTCGGGGATTGGTTCAGTACTCCTCATAGATGCCAAAGCCTGCCTGTGCTCAAGTCTTTCATGTAAATGGCATAGTATTTCATGTAACCTACACACATCCTCCTATGTATTTTAAATCATCTCTAGATTGCTTATAATACTTACTGCAATGTGAAGACTTGTAAATAGTTGTTATACTGTTTCGGGAATAATGACCAAAAACAATGTTCAAAATACGCTTCTTCCTACATAGATGCTGAAACTAGGAGAGTCTTTTTCAATTGTAGTTGTATGTTCTCTCTTGCCCATATCTGAGTGTTTTAGGTGAAACATCTCACTTATTTTGATGTGGATGTTGTCCATGGGTCTTTGGTTTTAGAACCTTTACTACTGTTGATTTTTGTGGAAAGGATTTAATTGCTGTGCTTTGCTGTGCCATTTTTAAGAAAGAAATTTTTAATATGAGAAATATAATAGTTAGATTCAGTCACTGCCTCCATGTTATTTCTTAATCACTTTAAGGCAGGTCCTTGAGTGTGACCCAGTAGAAGCTCCCTGTGCTGGTGATCAGATGTCTTCCTGTGGTGTCGACTACATTACTTGTGCCAGTGTTTTCCAGAGTGTATTTTTTAGAATTTAAGATATTAGATTAAAGAAGGTCTATGGAAATGTGCTCCTGAGATAAAATATTTGGGGGAAAATGCAGCACAGTACATTCTTGTCTTGGTAATTTTTTGTGCATATAAATAATATTGACTGCAGTGACTTTTATAACAAAGTAACACCTTCATTTAACAAGTGTTTCTTGGTCTTTACAGAATATTTGAAAAAATGGCTTTTCTATTTTTATAACTTTGATTCATCCTTGCTAGAGGGACGAGTAATGTATCAAGCTTATTATTTAGGGTTTCGCTGTGAATAATTAGTGGGAAAAGGAGGTGCGTTATTTCCTTTGACTGAAATCAAGTGAGGGTGTGTTTGTTTCTCTTTGACTCAGTGGTGTTATTGACAGAAGTTGACAAACTCACCAAAGATGCTCAACATGCCTTGCGCAGAACCATGGAAAAATACATGTCTACCTGCAGGTTGATCTTGTGTTGCAATTCTACATCTAAAGTGATACCACCCATTCGTAGTCGGTGCCTGGCAGTTCGAGTGCCTGCTCCTAGCATTGAAGAGGTAAATCAGGTTAAACCTCTTGTAACTTTTCACAAAAGTTTTAGTTCTGATTCTCCGAGTTTAGTGTGTACATCCCTGTCATGGTTGTTTTTGTAAAAGCTTAGTGGCATGCATCAGTAAATTAAGAACAGCTGTGGAGCTGGATACAAACCACTAGATACAACCACCAGTGCATATTCCTGATCGTAAATACCAGATACTGAGATCTGCACAGTGTTCTCCTTAAACTTTCTACTACCTTAAACTGACGTATATTGCCAATTCTGATTTGTTTAAGGACTAGTTATTTATTGCCTTACTAACTTAATTGGCTGTATGAGGAGACTGGAATATGGAGGAAGTAGATTTTGCAAGGTGATGATGTTAGTCTGAAACTACATTAATACAGATTTTTCTTTTCCTTGTCATTCTTAACAGCTATCAATAAAAGTTCTAAATAGTTTTCCTGCTGTTCATAGATTTTGAGAGATTTTATACAAAATAGGGATAATATGTTACACTGTGTTGGGTGCAGATTGTTAAGGTATCTTTATAGCAAGCTACACATAAAAACTTGAGAGTAATAGTTAAAAGGATCTTAAATGATGTTAAGGACAGAAGTTATCTCAGACCGCTTTTGATGATCTGGCCGTTTTTGTTAATTTTGTTTGTAGATTTGCCATGTGTTAACTACTGTGTGCAAGAAGGAAGGTCTGAACCTTCCTTCCCAGTTGGCTCATAGACTGGCAGAGAAGTCCCGCAGAAATCTCAGAAAAGCCCTGCTAATGTGCGAAGCCTGCAGAGTGCAGCAGTAAGTGGGTGGGGCGGGTGCCACTGGAGACTTTATACATCATTAGCATACTTCTCTCTAATTTCTTTCGTCCTCTCTTTTTGTTGTAGATATCCTTTCACTGCAGATCAGGAAATCCCAGAGACAGATTGGGAGGTGTATCTGAGGGAGACTGCAAATGCTATTGTCAGTCAGCAAACTCCACAAAGGTAACCTGTATGAAATAAAGGTTTAAGTCTCAAGATAGTACTTATATTAGCTATTATCTACTAACACCCCACCATTTAGAATTATTATTAAATCTTGGATCAAACTTTTAAGGAAAAGGTTGGATTTCATTTCAGAAATTGAGTTATTTGGAATAGTGAATAGTATGTGGTATTACAGCTTTTGTTAAGCTATTAACATAAAAGTAAAGGTTATGTGTAAAAGAAGACAAATTTTAGGGTTTTTAGCTTTTACTTTGAGGATCCTGGTGACCTAATGTTAACACGTAATGTGTCTCACATTCTAATATTGAAAAGGATAGTATTTAAGTTAGTAATTGATATATCATTTGCTAGGAAGACACCAAAGAATGAGTCAGACTTTTCTTCTAAAATTGTAGATAAATGTCCTTCATCAGGTAACTTCATTTCAGAGTTTCAGCTTCTTCATTTGTATATTGAAAATACTAGCCTGCCAGGGATACTTGTTTCTTTGAAGAGCAAAAGGAGATTGTATGATGATGGTTTAAGAATTAGAAAACCCTGTGTTCATGTAGAATGAACAGCTGTACTAAGGATACTGTTGTCTATATGCTGTTGGTACTTAGTATTTTTTGGCACGTTTGCTGCAGTTATTTCCATTAACTTCTGTGGGTCTGATACCCAGCGGGGGGGGGGGGGGGGGATACTGAAAACACCTCCACTCTGGTGATTGGATTGATGACAGCTTTGAGAAGGACAGTCTGCACCTCTGAAAATCAAGAATGATAGTGTAAAGCCTACTGTGTATGTGGAAGTGTGGAGGAGGTTCCTCAAGCTCACTGAAGCACAATCTCACATCCTTGAAGCTTGTCAGAACTGAAAGGGTGGTTGATCATTTAAGGGTTTAGAGCAGCTGAGTATAGCCACAGAATTTAAGCTTCTCTGGCTTAAAATAAAATAATGTTTCCCCTCTTGAGTGATACATCTGATGAATCCTACTTTCTATAAGAGAGCCTTCAAAAGGTTCATAACATGTATTTTTTGACTTCCACATACATTGATTTTGGTGGATAGTAAATCCGACATAGGTTTACTTTGAATTCCATTGGTTTCAAAAGGTACCAAACGTAAGTAGTTTCATCAGAAAAGAAGCCTTTAGGGAAAAGTATGTATTCTGTTTTGTTGATAATCAATGAAGAAATACTATCTTTTATTTTTTTCCTTAAAAATTTATTATTTGTTTATTCAAAAGGCAGAGTGACAGAGGCAGAGATAGAGAGAGAGATTTTAGCTGCTAGTTCACTCCCCACATAGCCATAACATCTAAAGCTGGGCCAAGCTGAAGCCAGGAGCCAGGAATTGCATCCAGATCTCTCACAGGAGTTTCAGGGGCGCAAGTATTTGGACTATCATTTGCTGCATTGCAGGTGCATTAGCAGAAAGATGGGATGGAAGTGAAGTGGCTAAGACTCAAACTGGCATTCTGATGTGGGATGCTGGCTTCACACGTGAGAGTTTAACCCAATGAGTCACAACTTCAACCCCAAGAAATATTAAATATTGGCTTTTTTTATTTTTAAGATTTATTTATTTGCAAGGCAGAGTTGCAAATAGAAAGAGGTCTTGCATCTACTGGTTTACTCCCCAAATGGCTGCAATAGTAAGGGCTGGGCCAGACCAAAATCAGGAGCTAGAATTTTGTCCCAAGTCTCCTATGTGGGTGGCAGGGACCCAAGTATTTGAGACATCTGCTGCTTTCCCAGCAGCTTTAGCAAGGAGCCGGATTGCAAATGGAGCAGCTGGAACTCAAACCAATGCCCATATGGAATGGGCAGGCACTGGGTTAACCTGCTGTGCCACAACACTGGCCCTGAAATACTAGGTTTTAAAAGATAAAATGCAAACAAAGCAGGTCTTAGGAATAGTTCTACACTGAAGATGACTTTCTTGTTTTGTTCTGGTTTTAAATAAGGAAAATTCGTGGTGGTGGTAGTAGAATTTTTGTACTTTTAAGGACTTTAGCTACAGATTATTATAATATTTGATAGTATATCACTTATACTTTTTTTTTTCCCCCAAAGATTCATTTGTCTATTTGAAAAAGAGTTTACAGAGAGACAGAAAGATTTCTTCCATCCACTCATTCACTCCCCAAATGGCGACAGTGGCTTGAGCTGTGCCGATCAGGAGCCAGGAGCTTCTTTTGGGTCTCCCACGCAGGTCCGGGGCCCAAGGACTTGGACCATCCTCTACTGCTTTCCCAGGCTGTAGCAGAGAGCTGGGGAAGTGGAGCAGCTGGGACTTGAACTGGCGTACATAGGGGTGGCGGCGGCTTTATCCGCTATGCCACAGTGCCAGCCCTGATATATCAACTTATGTTTTTAAAACTTTACTGTTGATACCTTTTTGACAAGTTTTGGATGCTTATAAATGACCTTGTGGAAGAAATGCTCTATGTAAATAAAATTGTAGGACTTTATTCCTTCGTGCCATATAAAGAGATGTTTTGCCCAGTTCTAGAAAGCTTTGATGCTGGCCAGAAATACTGTAAAGCTGGTGACATTTTGATCTCTGGCCTGTATCCAGTACCAAATGACTACTGATTTTTGACCCCCTTTATAGTCTTGATTTTCATTTGATTCATCTTGGATTAGTCTTGATTTTTAAAATTTGAGTAGCAGCAAATATTTATGTGAATGATTATATCAGCCCTTAAACTGTGTTATGTCATTTAATTAACATAACAGTCCTCTTGAAGAAAATATGAAAATCTTTACTATGTGCGTGAGTAAATAAAGATATACAGAACTTAAATAACTTAATCAGGGACGTTCAGTTAAAAGAAAGAGACAATTCTAGACAATTCTAATTTCTTTGACAGAGTTTGTGCTCTTGTAACCTATCAAGAAATAATGACATAGTAAGTGGAGATTATAGTAATTTTTGTAAGCTAAGTGATAGTATAAATTAACTCACACTAATGTGGGATACATGTTAACATGTATGAGAGCCACATAGTGTTGTACTTGTGTATAGGCAAGTATCTCCTGAATCAACTTTTTAGAAATAAAGTATATAAACAATATGTATATATTAAAAATAATTTTATACCACATGCCATTATTTTTATTCCTTCTGATTTAATAATCAGGTTTTATTTTTGAGACACACTAGCATGTCAGCAAGAGGCCGTAGTCTTTTTTTTTTTTTTTAAAGATTTATTTATTTATTTGAAAGAGTTACACAGTGAGAGGAGAGGCAGAGAGAGAGGTCTTCCATCTGATGGTTCACTCCCCAATTGGCTGCGCCGATTCAAAGCCAGGAGCCAGGAGCCTTCTCCGGTCTCCCACGTGGGTGCAGGGGCCCTCTTCTACTGCTTTTCCAGGCCACAGCAGAGAGCTGGATCAGAAGTGGAGCAGCCAGGACTCCCAGCAGGCACCCCTATGGGATGCTGGTGCCTCAGGCCAGGGGCTAACCTGCTGTGCCACAGCACCTGCTCCGAGGCTGTAGTCTTTTGAGTCAGACTTGAAAAAAGTGCTGGCTCATCTGCATGAGCTTGGTGGAAGCCTAACCTCTCTGAACTTTAACTTTTCAGTAAAAGTAGTATATTCCAGAGAACCTAGGACAGAGTATTGTGTTAAATAAACGCTTTGGCGGGCATTGAGAGGACATGGACTTTGAGAGAAGACAGATCTGTGTTCATAGCATGGTTTGCTATATTTGATTTTATTAGGTTACTTACATCTAAAAAGAAAAATGGAGATAATGATCCCTCACTGAGCTGGTGTGTGTTAGAAGAAATGTTCTAAGTTTTCTTTATTTTATTTGAGAGACAGACAGACATGAGAAGCATTCTGTTGGTTCACTCTCTTAAGCAATGACTGGGCCTGGTCTGAGCCTGTTTACTGGGAGCTGGGAACCCAGTCAGTGCCTCCCGTGGGTTTGGCAAGAACTCAACCACTAGAGCTGTCACCAGTGCCTCCCAGGGTATGTATTTGTATTAATAGGAAGCTGGAGTTTCAAGTGGGAGGCAGGCATAGAACCCAGGCACTCCTATATAGGGGCTGGTATTCCAATCAGTGTCTTCACTGTTAGTCCCAATGCTTGCTCTCTTCTAGTTCTTTTGTTTATGTATGATGGGGCTTTTATATTCCTTGCCTCCCAAAGGAAAAGTCAACCTTTACTTTTAAGAAATTGTAAATCACTACCCTGATTTATATGAAGTGTGGAACATCCATCGTCTTAGAAAAATTCAGAACACCTTTTTTCTCTTTGGAAGTGGGTAAATATATGGAGAAATAGATGAAGATGCATGTTTTGTGTATATTTGGGATTTTCATTGTAACTTTTTGACATGTTCCTGTTCATTTAGCTTGGTTTGAATGATTCTATTCAGTTTCTGTGCTTACCTCTAACCTCTTTTCTCACCCCTTTTATGACAGGACAGCTTCGTGTCCCTGTCATATTGCCATTTTACTGTGTAGTCTAAGCAGTAGCATTTTATTCCATACCACTGCTATCTTTTGTAACTTGTGTAATTAGTGACTGTTTATAATCTTTTCATGATAATTTTTTAAAGAAATTTATTTGAAAGAGAGTGAGAGAGAGAAATAGATCTTCCATCTGCTGGTTCACTTCCTACATGGCTGCAATAGCCAGGCCTGGGCCAGACTGAAGCCAGGAGCCTAGAGTGTATCTGGATCTCCTGCCACATAGGAAGCAGGAGACCCAAGGACTTGGACCATCTTCCCCTGCTTTTCCCAAGCCATTAGCAGAGGCCTGGATTGAAAGTGGAGCAGCTGGGATACAAACTGGTGCCCAAATGGGATGCCAGCATTGCAAGTGGCAGCTTTACCCTCTATGCCACAACTCCAATCCCTTCATGACCATTTTCTGGTTTGTCAGGTATCATCTATCTTGGGAAAAAAGAAAACGTTATTACTTGATAATATCCTTCAGGTGTATTAAATGCCATTGTGTGGGTAAGCTCAGCTTTCACTAGTATGTCTTAGTTTCTGTCTAGCACTTGCATGGTATTTGACATGATTATCCACATTAGGTATAAATGTCTCATTTAAAAGAGTTCTGAAGTTTTTCTTTTTGAAAAAATCAACTGAATTAGGAAACTTTTCTGTGTGTGTCCTACGGTAACACTATACAAGAAACTGTGGCAGTATTGGATAGTTTAATTTGTAAAGTAAAACAGCACGGTAGGAACTTGGAGAAATTGCCCCTGATTTTATCACAAACTATCGATTATTTTGTTTTATATAGGCTCCTTGAAGTTCGTGGAAGGCTCTATGAGCTTCTAACACATTGCATTCCTCCTGAGATAATAATGAAGGTAACCCAGTTTCAGATCTGGAACTGTTTATTACTGTTAACACCTAGACTGATCACAGAGCTTTTGTAGGAGGACAATAATATTGTCACTTCTTTCTCTCCAACTTAGTACTTCTGTGGGTGTTTATCTAGGCTTTTCTATGTGGCTGACACCATTAGGGGAGGAATCAAGAAGAGAAGGGAGGGCCTGCCTTCAGTAAGTTATATGATAGTGGGATGCAAAGGGAAAGAAGAATAAGAGGATTTTGCAATGTTGCAAGTACTCTAAAGGATGTAACAAGGTGAAGTGATAAAAATGAATTACGTGGCCATGGAAGGCCATTGATAGCTTCTCTGAGGAAGATAATGTTTAAGCTGAGACTTAGAGGATTAAAAGGTGAAGAACCATGTAAACAGCCGACCAATAAGTATTTCAAGTGATGAGACACAGTACCTTACAGAGGTAGATAGAGTCCAGATTCTAGGATGTTTCAAGCCTTAGCTTCAGGTTTGTTCTATCAACTTCCTCTGTCTAGTGTCTTTTAGTGTTTGCTAAATATTAGGGAATTCAGGGAGTTTTGGTTTACTTTTATTAAAACAGCAGGGCAGTATTCAAAAAAATTCAAATGCTATGAAATATACAATGAAAAAAATGAGATCCACCCTTCTTTTCTAATAGTAACTACTTTTCACAGACCTCTATTCTATTTTTTTTTTTTTTTTTTTTGACAGGCAGAATTAGACAGTGAAAGAGAGAGACAGAGAGAAAGGTCTTCCTTCCGTTGGTTCACCCCGCAAATGGCCGCTATGACCAGCGCGCCCTGCCGATCCGAAGCCAGGAGCCAGGTTCTTCTTCCTGGTCTCCCATGTGGGTGCAGGGCCCAAGCACTTGGGCCATCCTCCACTGCCTTCCTGGGCCACAGCAGAGAGCTGGACTGGAATGGGAACAATTGGGACAGAACCAGCGCCCCAACCAGGACTAGAACCCAGAGTACTGGTGCCACAGGCGAAGGATTAGCCTAGTGAGCCGTGGCGCTGGCCCACAGACCTCTCTTTTTCACATAAATATATATATATGTGTGTGTGTGTGTAGTTTCATTAAATGGTTTTCAATCAAGAGTATAGCATAGGTGGTATTATATGACCATACAGATGTAGCTCATTGTTTTTAGTATTTGAGTGACATTCAGTTGTATGACTACATCACAGTTTCATGAATATAACCCCTCTTGGTTTAAATTTAGGTTGTTTCCAGATTATTAGTATAAAAAAATGCTGCAATAAGTATCTTTGTGCTTTTAAATCCTTGCACTCTTGTGCTGTTAAATGCAGATACTGTTCAACTTCTGATGGGTTTACATCTTGATAAACTCATTCTCAGTCGGAAATACCATAAATGGAAAATGCGTTTGCTATGCCGACCCTGCTGAATGTCACTGTTCATTAACACAGGATATTGTAGAGTTGTTTCCTCTGGTGGCTGAGAGGGAGCTGTGGCTGTTGGCCACTTCCCAGCATCACTAGAGGATCACGCTGCATTTCACCAGCCTGGGGCAGGATCAACATTTAAAATTCATGCAGTGGTTTCTACTGAAGGCGTATTGCTTTCACACCATTGTAAAGTCGAAAATTTGTAAGTGGGAGACCATCTGTGTTTGGCATTTAATGATAGGAAGTTTTTTCTCTTGAATGAACATTATAGGTTCACAAAAAAAGAATTAATATTGTCCCATGGTTGTATATATAGGACAACCTGAAAAATTTAAATTGAGCAATAAATATACCACTTAGGGTAACTTTGAAATAAATATTTATGTTGTTGAAATAGTTTCAGAATTGAAAACGTGGGACTTAATGGGTTAAAAAGAGCACATTTAGCTTAAGTTTTGCTTCTTTTGTGAATGAGAGAAATAAAGAATGTTCAGTTAATACTGTTTTCAGTGATTACCTTTTAAATCACCAATTATTTTTCCTTAGGGCCTTCTCTCGGAACTTTTGCATAATTGTGATGGACAACTGAAAGGGGAAGTGGCCCAGATGGCAGCTTATTATGAACATCGTCTCCAGCTGGGCAGTAAGGCCATTTATCATTTGGAAGCATTTGTGGCCAAATTTATGGCACTTTATAAGAAGTTTATGGAGGATGGATTGGAAGGCATGATGTTCTGAATTCTCTCGGTAGTTCTCGCAGCTATTTCTCAGTGTCAGCATTTACATGCCGTTTGTATGGGGATAGCCCCAGGTAAAATAAAATAACTTTACTTAATCATGTCTTATTTGTGTTTTTTTTTTTTTTTTTTTTTTTGTAGTAAGTACTCTTTGACTATTAATCTTATCTTCTAGATTAAATACTTGCTTCTGTGTTGTTGAAATGTCTTGAAAGGACACAAGTAGAAAAACTAGAGTTTAGGAAAGCGATTTTAATTTACTTCAACATTTGTATTCAGAGAGGCGTAGTTGATCCTGCCATTCTCTTCCACCCAGCCTTTCACTGTTGAAGGGAGTTGACCCATCAGAAAGCAGTGATTGTTTCATATCCTCTAGATTACAGCTTTTGACCTCACATTCATGACTGTGCTTGGCACTTCATTACCTGTAATCAATCATATTCTCTCAACCAGGAATTATGTTTTTGCAGGAAATAGAATTAATTCTGAAGCATAACAACATGGGTATGAAGAAAATTGTAAGTACCATTTGTGTTCAGGCTGCAGGTATCCGATTTCCGTTTCAGGGATTCCCAGGGATTCAGATTGCTATTAGATTGGGACTAAGAAATAAGCATATTTTCATTAACTTGAGTGCGTGGGACTCCTGAAGAATATCTGTCATGTAGTTCTGAAGCGAAGGTTTATTATTGTAGAAATGAATTTTATGAGCGGGCATAGTGTTCCACCCCCTGCACCCTTACCCTTTGTCCTTACTTTGGGGACTTTTGTTTATTTCAAAAATTTGGTTCGTAGAGCAAAGGGTTTGCTCGACAATTGTCTGGCAGACTGAACAATTCCTTCAATTTTGCAAGTGGAAGCTGGACTTAAAACTTAACCAACAGTGAAAGAAAAGAGGAAGCTATGCTTATATAAGTTGATTGGCCTATATGCAGATATAAAGGAAACCTGCTGTAGTGGTAGTTTGTGATAGGACAGGAAGTTGTTGACAGACACCACAACTAAAATAAAATCTAACAAAAGAACAAGGAAGCAGAGGTTTAGAAAAACAAGGGCCTGCACTGTATCACTGTGCTGCTGTGGCATAGTGGCTTATCTGGTAAAGCCACCACCCTCAGTGCCAGCATCCCATATGGGCACCAGTTCAAGTTCCCCAGCTGCTCCTCTTGGGATCCAGCTCTCTGCAATGGCCTGGGAAAACAGTGGAAGATGACCCTAGTCCTTGGGCCCCTGCACCCTTTTGTGAGATCTGGAAGAAGCTCCTGGCTCCTGACTTTGGATTGGCACAGCTCTAGCTGTTGTAGCCACTCTAGGGAGTGAACCAGCAAATGGAAGACCTCCCTCACCCACCCCCAACCCCTGCCAGCCGTTGTAGCCACTCTGGGGAGTGAACCAGCTGAGGGAAGACCGACCTTCCTCTCTCCCTCCCTCCCTCCCTGCCTCCCTCTGCCTCTTTGTAACTCTACCTTTCAAATAAATAAAATAAATGTTTGAGAAAAAAAAGGAAAAAGAAAACAATGCTTTAATTTCTTAAAAAAATTGAAAAATGTAACTGTCTTACAGTGTTTGCATTTGGAGTTATAAGTAATCTTTGTAATTTGTATTTCTCAGGAGCACTGTTCTAGAGTCATCGCCTGAGGACTCCTTAGAAATGGAGACTCTCAGGCCCCATTGAATCAGACTGGGAATGGGCCTTAACTAATCTTTGTGTTATTCCAAACTTTCCAGGTGACTTTTTAAAATTTTGGTTAACATGTAATACTTTGTTGGGGGTACAGTGCAAAACTTCATCAGTATATACAGTATAAACCAGTCTAGACAACCGCACTCTCCTATCTACTTTTCTTTGTGTTTGGAGCCTACCAGTTCCTCTTGTGTTCTCAGTACAGTACATAATAGATTAGTGTGAATTATGGTCACTCTGCAGTGCTGTGGAACACCAAAACTTGCTACTTCTGACAGTTTTGGTACCCATTCCCACTCCCCACACTGCCCTTCCGAGCCCCTAGTAATCATACTATAAGTTCAGATCAACTTTGAGAAGAATGTTCGTGTTTCTGTGGCTGGCTTATTTCACTGCACGATGAGCTCTAGTTAACGTTCATTCCGTCTGCATGTCAGGATGTTACTTTTATTTTTGGTTAAGTGTTATTCTCTTGTGTGTATTAAGTTCATTTTCTTCATGAATCAGGGAACAGTTAGGATGATGCCTTATCTTGGCTGTCGTGAATAGTGCTGCAATGAGCGTGGGAGTGAAGGTGCCCCCTGCATGTTTGATTCCGTGTCCTTCAAGTATATATTCGTAAGTGGCATAGCTGAGTCATACGGTATGTCTGCTTTTAGTCTTTTGAGGAGCCTCCTTACTGTTCCCCATGACTGAACTAATTTTTGTTTCTTCCAACAGTGTATAAAGTTTCCGTATTTTCCACATCCTCGCCAATGTTTGTTACTTTGTCTTATGTGGCCAGTCTGGAGTGAAATGAAAGTGGTGTTTGTTTTTAAGATTTATTTATTTATTTGAAAGTCAGAGTTAGAAAGGGGGAGACAGAGATCTTCTGTCCTGTGGTTCACTGCCGCCCCCCCGCCACCCCCCACCAGATGACCACAATAACCAAGGCTGGCCAGGCTGAAGCCAGGAGCCAGGAAAAGCACTTGGAACATCTTCTGCTTTCCAAGTACATTAGCAGGGAGCTGGATCAGACAAAAGTTGAACCCGTGCACATATGGGATAATGACATCACAGGCAGCAGCTTAACTCACTGTGCCTCAACTCCAGCCACGATAGCGTGGATTTGATGTGCATTTCCTGATAGCTAGCGATACCGAGCATTTTTTATGTAGTTACTTAGCTATTTGTATTTTTTGAGACATGTCTATTCAAAGCCCTTACTCTTTCTTAACTTGTTTTGTTGTTATTTTTTTCACTTTATTTGAAAGGCTGAGGTGGAACTAGAAAGAATGAGATCTTACTTGCACTGGTTCAATCACCAGTTATCCACCACTGCCATCACTTGTCTAGGCTGAATCCTCGAGCCTGGAACTCAGTCTTTCTTCTTCAAAAAGAGGACTGCCAGAAACTTGGTCTTAACCAGGTTAAGGTCTAGGTCTCACACATAGGTGGCAGGAACCCAACTACTTGAGCCATCACCTGCTGCCTCCTAGGGTGTGAATTAGTAGGAAGCTGAGATTTAGAGTAAAGCCAGAGTCAAACCTAGGACCCCCAAGACTGATGCAGGCACCCCAAGTGTCAGCCGCTGTGTCAAACAACTGTCTTCCTTTTCTGACGAACATTCTCAATGGATTTAGAATTTTAGCCTGACAACTTTTTTCTCCCTCTTTTGTTTATATTTTGTCTCCTGGAGTGCTTGCTTTCTGAAGAGACATCTACAGTCGTCATAATTGAGATTTTCAACTCTTATGACTGATTTCCAGCAGTTTGGCCAAGGCAGATTTGGTGTGATTTTTCTTCGTGTTTATTCTGCTTTATACTGCTTTGGGTTTGTGTTTGGATCTGTGGATTTGTGTATTTTATCAAATTTGGAACCATTTAGCTTTTTTTTTTTTTTTTTTTTCAAATATTTTTCTGCCCCTTTCCTGGGAGATCCTAGCTGCCTCTGTGACTGATCGTATCCCATAATTCATGACCTTTTTATTTTTCCAAACTTTTTTTTCTCACCATCCTTCAGTTTGAGTAGTTTGTTGCTTTTAAAGTCACTAATATTTCCTGTGCAGTCTCATGTGCTCCTAAGATCATTCACTGAGGTATTCATCTTAAATATTAAGTATCAGAGAAGATTCTTTCACTTCTTTGTGTTTTATGTTTTTCTGTAAATCTATAGAATATATTATAGTAGCTCTTTTGAAGTCTTCTGTTTCTATTATATCTGTCATTTCTGGATCTTTATTGACTGTATCTTTCCTGTTTGTGGGTCACATTTATTGACTTTCTGAACTTTAAAAACAAAAATTGAGACACAAAAAGACAGTGAGAGAAAGTTCCTATCTGTTATTTCACTCCCTAAATGTCCACAGGGCTGAGGCTGACCTGGGCTGGACTTAAGCCAGAAACTGGGAACTCTCAGGTCTCCCACAAGAGTGACAGATGTCCAATTACTTGAGCCATCACCACTGCCTCCCTGGATCTGTATTGATAGGAAGCTAAAGTCAGAATCCAGAGATGGGAATTGAACCTGGCACTCTCACGTGGGATGCAGGTATCTTAACTGCAAGGCTTAATGCCCCCTTCTTTCCTGTGTTAATTTTATTGGATGCTGATTATTTTAACTATTTGTTATAATGTATTGTGAAGGATCTGAATTCTGTTGTGTTTGTTTTTAACTGTTGAACTTCATTTTGGCAGCAGCTGCTTGATTGCCAACTTGATCCTTTTCATGCTTGTTCTTAAGCTTTGTTGGGGTGATTCGAAAGAAGTCTATCCCTAAGATAGCTCTATATTTGATCATTAAGATTTCTGTTGTTGCTACTGAATGCCCTAAGTATCACTGAGGTGCTAGCATCCTGGGTGCCCAGATCTCAAGTGTCTTCCAGTCCTGTATGAGCTTTGAGAATTGTTCAGCTAACAATTTCCTCTAGTTCTTTGCTTACTTATTTTTGGTTTTCTTTGGGGGGTGGGGGGGGGGTGTATGTTTTCTTGTCTTTTGGAATCTTAATGTATATGCCTCTTAGTAATCAGCCAAAGCCAGATTTCTGGAGCATTTTTATTGTGTAACTCCTTTCTTTCCAGCTCTCTGCCTGCACACACACAGACACCTCAGCTTCTTTGAATTATTTCCTTTTTTCAACTCAGTCTTCTCAAAGTTCTCTGCCTGAGTTTTTCCTTCCCACGCTGCTGGCTGAAAAGCCTCTCTGAGCAGAAAGCAGAGTGGTTGTAGAGTTCACCTCGTTGGTTTCTTTTCTCTGGTGCATCACAGTCTTGCACTGCCTGTTGTCTGTGCCCGTTACACAGTTGCCTTACACGTGTTGGGTTTTCTAATTGTGTGTACTAGGAGAGCAAGTCCAGTGCCAGTTACTGTAGTTTAACTGGCAGTGAAATTGAAGTTATGATTTTAACCAAAAGCCCAAATTCCTGAGTATGAAT